GTGGGCGGTGGTCGTTTTTCATGTGACGTGGCAGTGGGCGGTGGTCGTTTTCCGTGGGCACTCGTTGTTATTCATCAGCGGTCGTCCTTTTTTGTGTGATGTGGCAGTGGGCATGGACATGTGGTGGTCGTTGACATGGGTGTGTCATCGTCGTCTTCGCTTGTTGTCATCATCGTGCTTGCGTGTCGTTGTGCTTGTGTTTCGTTGTCATTGTGTTTCGCCGTGCTCGTGTTTCGTTGTTGTGCTCATGTGTCGTCGTTGTCGCCGTCCTCGCGTGTTGGTGTCGTCATCCTCATGTGTCGTGCATGGGTGGTTGTTGGCGTTGGTGGGGTGTAGCGTGCCTGTCGTGGTGAGAATGGAGGAACGCGGTGGTGGGGCATATGTACCCCTTGCCCATGACATTGCCACGTCATGGGCGTTGTCCCTCGTCGTGTGTGTCGTTAGTGTGGGCGTCATGGGCGTCGTTAGTGTGGGCGTGGGCGTCGTGGGCAGCGTTGAGATGGCAGGGAGGTGAATGGGTGGTGGTGGTGGAAGGGAAAGGGAAGGTCACGGTAGTGTGACCATGCCACAAACAGGAGACGTGACGATATGGCACGCCCTCAAGTAAGTCATGTGACATCACCCCGCAGACTGAACAAAATCATGAATCCTTATTGCAGCTATCACTGACCTATACTAATATGTAAATTATTACTCTTCTATTCATATTTGTATTGCATAGTCTATTTTCGCTTTTTTGTAGTATTCATAATTAATAATAATAACTAATAAGCAGTAATGCACTGGAATCACTGGAATCCACTGGAGTCCACTGGAGTCCAGTGGACTATGACTGGACTCATAGTCGACTGGACTGGGACTGGACTCAGGAAAGTGGCTTGTAGTCCAGTGAGAGTCCAGTGGACTGGACTGGACTGGACTGGACTTGAGGCCAGTGGACTGGGCATTGTACAAGCCAATCTGGCCTAGCAACTGGGCCACTGGACTCCACTGGACTCCACTGGAATCCACTGGAATCCACATGGATTACATGGGGGATGGTAAAGACAATTCTGTCACTTATAGGCCAACAAAACAGCAGATGTTGAGGAACAACTCACAGGAAGATGACATTTTCTGGTTGATGGCAACTGTCTGCTAAATCAAGTGTTGAATGTGAACGACAGGGCATAATGAGGTGATGGGTAGCAACACTCACAAGCAAGCTGAGAGGCGCTGGGCTCCAGTGACCTTCATGTGAAGTGTAGTGACAGTGGGTAGAGTAGAGGCTGAGATCAGTGGGTGCATGATCAAGGCATGCTGAATCTGTTATGTAACACATAAAGCAATGTAAGGATCTGGCAACTGTCTCTCAATGGGCAAAAGACCATCTTTTTTGAGGCTTGCAATGGTTTTGCAACACACAGGAAAATATTTTGGCAGGGGAAATCCGTGGTGTTGCATTCAAAAGACAGTCATGCCAGAGAAAAAGACAGTTTCTGCTAGGGTCTTGGCACAATTTGGGCAACAGGGTGAATTACAGGGATGATCTCATACATATTAAATGCCAAGCTCCAGGGCCCCCTACTGATGGCATGAGGCTGAAGTGTGTTGTGCATCCTTTCAAGTATAAAGCTGCACCATCAGATTCCATAACACCCATCAACCAAAACATTCATACCAATTGTCCCTCTCAAGCTGCAAGCCTCCCATCACAAGCCAGTTGCCTGTTTTCCTCTCCTCTTGCATTCAAGCACGATTGTTAAACATCAACAATGGCCCCAATGATCTCAGATGTTGGCCCTGCTGTCGTGGTCATGGCCCTCACTTGAAAAGCCTCAAATCCTCTTCTGCAACCGATTAGGTGAGTTGTATGGCATAAGTTTCTTAGTCTGAACCGGTATCATGGACCACAAAAGACCAGTCCTAGGTGGTTCGTTTGGTTCCCTCAATATCTGGGTTGGTCCTGGACCGGTTGCAGTCCATGGTTGCGCGTTTTCAGGGCAAAAAACTGGACTGAACTGAACCTTTAAACACTAAGCAGGATCCTCATTATCTTGAATTTCTTGGCTTAAGATCATATTTCTTTTTGTGGGTATATATAAATGACCCTGACATGGACCCTGAAGGCAGTGCCTCATATTGTATACACTGCATATACCAACTCTATT